AGCGGTGTGTGAGACCTCTGTAAGAGGGGCAGCAGAGACGGGCTAACGGAGAAGCTAAGAAGGAATTACCAACCATGGAGCTAGTTAAAGGAAAAGTCTGGTCAGCAAGGAGTAACCAATTGGTTATTATTTATACCTAAAACTAATAAATTCGCCATGAATTTAACATTAATCAGTAAAAGAAATAAAAACAATATTTTTCGTTGCGATCACTGAGTCCAGGAAGAGACATATTTGCCCAAATATAGTAGTACCTCACTCCTGACATCTTCCAGCAGTGATGTCACGGTGTGGTAAGCCTAGTGCCATTCTCCCAGCTTTACAAGCAAAATCAATGGGAACTAATAGACACCTCTGCAATCAACAACAATTTCAAGAGGACTTCACCATTGAAATTTGGAAGAGCTATAAATAAACTGTCAGTGCTGCACGTGCATGGGAGTTGGATGTTATTATACATAGGATAAAAGTGAAAAAATAAATTGTTATTTCACCTTTCCAGTTCATGATCCACCACAGGTTCTTCGTTGGAATACCAACTTGAAGGAGGATTTGCCATCGAACTTCTGGCCAGAGAAAAAACACAGGTCGTCTGCCTGTGTGTCACAATGAATCCAAATGTGCCTCTGCTCCTGCCGCAGACACTCTTAATTAAAAACACTTATTTATTGAACAGTTTGTAATAATTTAATACTTAAAGTACTTCCAGAAGTTTGTATTCTGAATGTGACCAGACTTTTCCTTTAACAGTTACCTTTTGTATCTCTGAATCTTTTTTAAAGCATGCTTTTGTCTCCTTGAACCCCAGTCAGCCTCTGCAGATGGCTGCTCACACTGAGCCTGGTTCTATTGGAGCGTTCTTCCTGTTAAAAGGGAGTTTATCCTCTCCACTGTTGCTACATGCATGCTCGGTGTGAGGGATTGCTGAAGAGTCCAAGACAAGATGCAAGCTAAAATCGTTGCCGCAAGCTCATCCAGGAGGAGCATGTCTTGCAAGTCAATGACAAGATTCAATCAGCTAGTTTTCCTTGACAGAAATTTTTTAATTAATATGACTGTATTGTCTCTGTAAAGTGCCTTGAGATGATGTGTGAAATGGTGCTATATAAATAAACTGAATTTGAGTGAATTGAGACCTTCCACAGATTGGCAACCTGTCCAGGGTGTACCCCGCCTCTCGCCCATAAGCCCCATTTACACAACACTCTAAAAACAGATCCGTGCCGAGTTCGGACCGTGCTCGATCAGTTATCCATGCCGACCTCGGTTGTTTACAACTGTTTACACACCACGCTAGCATGCCTCCTAGTGACGATCTACGGTATTACTGCTCTCTAAAGGTAAACAAGCAAATTAACATGGGGGCCCCTGTAACATTCAGGAAGTTTGGTTATAATTGTGATATTTAGTTGTTTGCAGAGATTAAGGTGAAGAAGGCAGCCTCTGTTGAATTTACTTGACAGAGTCGGCTTTTGGGAAATGGATACGACAAATGATAGTCTAATCAGGACTTACATACGCAGGAAACAACAACAGATGCCAAGGTTCATTACACTGCAAAGCAGAATCATCACTGGAAATCTATGGCACGGTAGGGAAGCTAGTATTTTAATGAATGTCTGAAATTTCATGATTACGGAGGCTGACTGTAAAGAGATGACGTGGTCTGATCTGAGAACTGAGCCCATAGATGCAGCACCTAATCACTGACTTTTTAACCATAAAGGCAATAGACAAGTCACAAGTTTTATTTGGCCCCATGTGTTTTGCTATTAGTTGTATCAGCTTATCTGCTGCTTGTGCAATCTCCTTTAATATGCCTTCCTGGATCCTTTTTTGATATCACCCACATCAAAACCCGCTGCTGCTTGCAGCTGTTTCACTGATGAAATACGATAATCTAGAGTACTGTTTCAGGGGACTTAATGCAAATGCAAGTCAAAGTTTAGAGATATATTTTTAAATCACATCACTTTCAGTCCAAAAGTTATCCACCAATTGTGTTGGTAGGTTGTGGTTGAAATGTCTCAAAATCTAAAATAAGCTTCAGGGGATTTGTATACTTTTGTAAGGCACTGCCAACATAACAAATTTGCCAAATATCTAAGTTGGCAATCGTTAAGCTTCCGTCCTGATTGTTGTACCAGTCCTTTGAGAGTGGTAGGGCAAAGCTTAGCTGGACCAGTCTGGGTTGAACCAGTCTGGTTTCTGCCGCCCGAGTTATGCTGTCTGTGCAGGGTTTTTGTTCCAGCCTGACAGGCACCCACTCTAATCAACTCCATGGATTCCTCTGCATGCTCACCCAAACAGACAAAAAGTGAAGGGGAGACAGGGGAATGGGAGGGGGGCAGAGAACGAGAGAGGGACACTGATAGGCAAACTAGTTCAGTGTTGCACTGTATGTTGCATAACAAAAGCTCTCAACCAGAAAGTTACATATGTGTGCAAACAGCACACAAACACATCCAGTAAACAGGAAGTTGCAGATACAAAACCTTTCTAGGAAAAGTGATATAGTGGTAATGATTTTTTAGGCTGCCTTTGAACAGCTCATACCCTAGCTTACCTAAATGAATGGTCAGAGGTGCGTTTAATTTATAACTTTTACACAGAAACTTCATAGTGTTAAGACATAAAAATGCACATTATGTATTTTCAGATATTAAATAGGAATGTTTAAATTAACAGATACAGCAGCCCCAGTTTTATCAGGTCAGCTTAAATCTTTGATGGTGCATCTTCAGAGTTGTATTTATCCACTTAATGCCACTGCACATTAAAGCTGTTTACTGGCTTTTGCCAGGTAGAGGATAGGTCATGTGTTCTGGGAGACTAGAAGGTTGTAGTGAATGGAAACTGGATCCATCTATAGGTGTGTATGACTGTGCAACATGTGTGTAAGAGCATATATGTTGGTGTATCCAGTGTCTCTCTGAATGTGGGAACTTAGCCCTAGCTGTAGTACTGCTCTCTGGGAGGGATGCCATGGTAATCCCCTGTTTGGCTCATCAACTCCCCGTCTTACTTTCACCATCTCCTCTAGTTTCTGTGTGTTCCATACTCTATTATCACTTTTTACTTCTCTTCAAGCTTTTTGCCCAGTAAGTTAAAATCTAGTTATGCTTTGACTGTTAAAAATACTCCTGGTTATGTCTTGACCTATCCGAGGTGTATTCCACCTCTGGAAAGGGGCCAATGGCCCCCTACAATGCTGCAAGGATAAGTATAGGCCATCCATGAATGGATGGATGGATAGATGGGTGCATGGATGGATGAAAGAATGGATGGATAGATCATTGGATTGGTCTTTTTGTGCATCCTATAAGAAAACAATGGATACAAGATGCCATCTCATACTAAACTGTGTTTATAAATTAAAACCCAAATGAATTTAGCTGAGATGAGTAAAATATCTTGTTTTTCATTTAACAGATTAATTAAAAGTAGATAGTTATATTCAATAAAATGCAATGCATTGTCAATTGAGGCATATTTGTTATTTGTCTTATGCAATATCTGATCTCAAATACTGTCTCTCATTAGTACTAAGTGTAAAATCTTAACACAGACAAAATAACATTGGTCTGTGTGTGATTCTTCTGTATAATGTGTTTTACAGAGCAAGCTGAGTTACTGAAACAAATATAGAGACTTGTTGTAGGAGCAAAGGCTTGCTTCTATCCTGAAGCTTATCAGTAGGTATTGGAGTAATACCAGTAAAGGTCACGCAGCGGCATGCCTGCTGCTTGTTAGTCCAAAGACGTAGTCTGATCTTAAGGATTAGCCAAGGATCTTGTTTTGGAATTACCTCCCGAACAAACACGTGGCTGGTGTTGCTCACAAAGCAAACAGTCAAGTGAAACAGCTCACCATAACACTGCTTTCTATTGTGAGGATAAGAAAAGTCCACACCACCCACCGAATGTTTAATTCATACCATATACCAATGCTTTGCAATAACTATATGGATAACAAAATATTGTTGGACACAGAATATTAAATCTAGAGTAGTCCACTCAAGCTGCATTTCATTATTTTCTTCCCACTCCAAAGTTTGTGAAGGACAAAGGGTTCCATTCAGCTCCTATTAGACAATCAGTGGCTTGCAGATGTATTATCATGTTATTAAACTTGGATTTTAAACAATGGATCAAACACACAGTAGTTTATATTTTTGATGTTGAAGAAAATTTCAAAATTTTCTCACACTTTATTACAAATAAAAACCCTGAAAAGTAAATAAAATCCTGCTTTTAAAAGTCAAACGGTTAGAAGTAGAATCCATGTGCATCTCAGTATAAAGAAAGATCAGTGGTGTAGTCCTATATGGCGTATACCGACTTATTTTTTAATCGGCATTGCGTATACCCACAGCTAAATCCCGAACGATCCACACTATTAAGCAGAATCTCCCAGCCAAATTTCCCATTTTTTCCTAGGCCGGTGAAGCCATCGCCTGCACTACTCTGCTTCATATTGGCTAGTACTCACTGGCTTTACTGATTACACTGGTTAACTGAAGGCATGACGACCAGTGAGCCAATCAGAGGCAGAGAGCGTTAAGTTATTTTACAATCCTTCCTCCCTGACATCAAATAACATAAATTATATGACATTAAGTAAAAACTACAAAGGAATCTTTTGGGTAAACTACATAGTGCGGTCTAACATGTATTGTTTCTGGGCTGCATTTAAAAAAGAGGGTGAGTACTGTATAGCCACCTCTTCAGGGACCACTACACTACTGATAAAGATCCATATTCCATGAAGGTCTAAAAAGTTGGTTGTGAAACATCATTGAACTAACATTTTATAAAAAAAAAAAACAATAACAGGTATTTTCCTGAGGATAACTCTAAAGCAAACTAACATTATAAAACAAATTACCCAAGCTTTGGAGCGGGGCTCAATTAAAAACATACATACACTCCATGCGTGGATGGAGAGAACATGCAGTATAGTGGAACATTCAGTGTTTATAAGAAAATGCTTTGCCTTACCTGCAGTTCACACCAAGCCACTTCCACCCAGGTCTCTGTGTCCAGGCCTTTGTACACAGTCTTAAATGCTCCTCTTCCCAGTTCAATGTCAAACTTCAAAAACCTTCCACCAGGAGAAGTGGCTACCGCCTTCATTTCTGTCTCCTCCTCCTGCTCACGGTCCCTCTCTCTCACACTCAGAGTTGGTGCAGATGAAGGAACATCTTTTCCAGGCTCGTGGCCCTGAGCGGGATCATGTCCCAAGGGTAAACAGGAAGAGGCAGCTCCTTGTTGATGGATGTTGTCAAAAACTGAATCTGTGGAGTGAAGCTCCAGGTGGGGGGCACTGTGGGGAGCGTCGGGAGGTATGACTTCATCATCATCTGCCTCACAGATCTCTACACTCTTTCGAAAGAAGCGCTTTTCCCGTTTCATCCGTTTTTGACCAGTATCAACGGGGAATGAAGGCATTGAGGCTAGCACTGGGGTCTCTTCAAACTTCTGGAAGGCATCTTCTTTATTTCCTCCACCTCTATTGTAACCCCCTTTCTGTGTGTCCATTTGAGTCTGGGTGGAGGGGAAGTCCAGAGAGGAGTTAGGTGTCCTCTCCCTCTGTTTGTCTGTTCTGACCTCCTGCTTATTTTCCTCCTCATTTTTTCCATCTGCTTTCTCAGAAGAGTCCTCAGTGCCTGTGGGCTCTCCTGGGTCTGTAGCCATGGAGAATGGCCTTTACCAAACCTTTGAGACCTCCTCCTTCGTCGCCTCCTCCTCCTCCAAACCCTTGCTCTTCTGTCAGTCCCCGTCTCTCTCTCTTTCTGTGGTCAACGTCACCCCTTTTGGTCTAAAAGGTGCTTTATTTGTGATTCAAGTTAGAGTTAGTTTAAGAATGAAAACTTCTTGACAACTCTTCATCCTTTAGTATGCTGCTATATGTATATGGATGACAGCATAGGTGCAAAGAATACCTTTTCTTTTCAAAGTCCTTATTGTTTACCTATAGAATCTGCTTGATCAGCAGAACTAGTAGCAGCCCACACTGTTCGAGGTTTTTTTCACACCTCCGGCCAAACCTGAAGAGCTTTTTTAGCTTTTAAAATTTTCATCTGAAGATGAGTGAATCTGTAAGACAAAAACAAAAAACAGATCAATATTCAGGGATAATGTGGATGTAAAACCTTTACAATATATGAGTCGCTGAAACATAAAAGTATGACATAAATTCCAAAGCAACACTCCCCAATATCAGAGGTGTCAAGTAACAAAGTACAAATTATTTGTTACTGTACTTAAGTACACTTTTTAAGATGTCTATACTACTTTATCTTCCTACTTCTGACTTCTGCTCATTAATTTTCACACAAGTATCTGTACTTTCTATTCCTTACATTTTTAAAACAAACGTTACTTGTTACTCTTGGCTTTGGTTTAATGTTTATGAGTATTTATTTACATTGTGTGAGCCATCCAATGCAGATGATTGGCTCCATCCACATCTAGTGAATACTAGTGTAATTGGATGAGTCATAAAACACTCATTGGTTAGCTAAAGGAAATCATCAGAATCAAGCAGGTGTTCTTCAAACTGCAAACGTGAATTGTCTATGCCATGCTACAATGTCGGATTCAGAAAAAGATGTTGAAATGTCTGAAAGGTCGAACACAGGCGAGAGCGTATCTGGAGATGGAGACGGATACCAGCAAGACCTCCTTCATCCTTGGCCCTATCTCAAATAATTTTTCGAAAAATTGAGCTTTAAATTCATATAGTGGCATCTGGCTGTTTTTTTTTTTAAGGTTACTTTATACTTTCATACTTTAAGTAATTTTTTGGACCACATACTTTTTCGACTTTAACTTGAGTAAAGAGGTCAAGTTGATACTTCTACTTTTACCAGTGTTATTAATCTGCAGTATCTATACTTCTACTTAAGCAACAAATGTGTGTACTTTTGACACCACTGCCCGTTGTTTGCATGACAGGAGTATATTCTGAACATCTTTCCGCAAGTAATCTGAGGAGCATGTACAGTGACTCAGCGGTAATTACAACAGAAGTCTTCATTTCTGTGCATTTTTAATGAGCTCACCTAACCAATCATCCAGCACATGTTTATCATCATTTTGTGACTTAAATTGTGTTCAACAGCTGCATTAGTCAGCAGAGAGCAGCAGTCAGTGGACTGCAATCGTGTTCATTAAAAATGGATGACGATCTAGGGGCCAGTAAACTGTGAATAATTCATACAAAGAGTGACTGTTGAACTGTACGGGAATGACTAGAGTACATCTGCAGTGGAGATCTGATGAAGAAACAACTACTTGTAATTATGATTATATACACAGACAACAGAGGGGGGAAAATAATCATTTTGTATTTAGCCAACAAGTTGCTAATGATAAAATTCCAATTTCAAATCCTGAAAAATGTTCTGATTGACCATTTCTCTTAAGATGTCAGAATGGATCCTGTGGTTTTCTGATTCAGGCTAGTGTTTTAAAGCTGCAAGTAAGAACAGCATGTCTAAAAAGCAGCTGACTGAGCAGACAGCTTGACTAAATAACCAGTCAATTGCAGGCTGGTATACTTATTATTATTATTATTATTACTCTCTCCGTTCTCAGGCTGTTGTCTTGTTTTCTGTCCCACGTGTCAGTACTGAGCTGGGTAAAAAGGCCTTTGCTTACTCTGCTCCCTTTACATGGAATTTGCTGCAAAATAACATGAAACTTAGTAAATTGGTTCCTTTGAATACTTTTAAGTTGAGAATTAGATGTTTTGAGTTAGACTCCCTCACATGTCAATGTTTTAATTGAAATTTTATTGTAAGTGCATATTTGGCTTTTATGTGTGTGTCTTTTATACATATGTAATGATGTGATGTAATTTTGATGCCTATCTTGGCCAGGTCTCCCTTGCAAAAGAGATTTTTAATCTCAATGGGTATTACCTGGTTAAATAAAGGATAAATAAATAAATAAAAAATAAATTATCCTAAAGAAAAAATGCAGAAGATTAAAAATCAGTTTAAAAATCTACAGTACAGTACTTCAAGACTGCTAATAATTTTACTTTGGTGTCAAATTTATGTAATAAAACCACAATATCAGATGGTATTGTTATACCAATATTATAACAGTAGACATCTGTGTTAACAGTATTTTGGGAGTGGTAGTATTAATAGTTTCAGACAACAAAAACATTACAGTATATAAATTGTTAAAAATATATTTGTAAAAACAATATAACAATATTTTCCTCAAGGTTATGATCTCTGAAGTTATGACACAAAATATGCCACAAATGTTCACCATGGCTACAGAGTTGATGCAAACGCCTCTCAATATTGCAAAAATTACCCAATGATTCCCTAATCTTGTGCAGACATTAGGCTTTCTGTCTAAGCTGTTGGAGATTTACTCTCTTACAGTTCATTTTGTTTCATTGTTGTTGCAACCAAAGAACATATTTTGTAAATGGAAAGGTAAAAAAAAAGAAAAAGAAATTCAGAAATGAAACTTTGAAAAACTTCATAACAAAATGAAGGTTTTGAGAGTATATTTGCTTTTTTCTCAAATTATATTTATATATTTTAGTATTTACTCTTTTTTGTTCAAATTTCTTTTCATATTTTGTTTTTTCAATGTTTTTTTTTTTAATGTAGAGATTTAAGGAGTGAATTCTTTTCAAAGTGCATTTTACGGGATCATACTCTCTTCCCTTCTGGGGGGGTTTCAATTGGAGTGAAGAGCAAAGATGCATTTCTATTGGTTGGCGTGGATGTTGGCAACAACATTTTTACTGGTCAATGTTTTCGTCAATACTGAGCATCTATACTAGGATTGAGGTGAAGAGATGTGATGTGTTAAACACAATTTGAAAGAATGCAATAAATCTCAATCGAAAAAGAGAAATTAAAAAAAGATTTGAAAATCTAAAATCTGTAAGACTATTTTGAAAAAAAAAACTAAATAAGGTCTGTCAAAAATTAAAAATTTTTTTTTATAAGAAATATATATTTTTTAGAAAAATCGAATCCAAGAAAAACAGCAAAGTAAAAAAAAAAATTTCAACATGGCAACATGTATGACAAATCAGAAAATGGTGTGCCAACCACTTTTGCAGTCACTGTTTTATAGGATAGCATGTCGGAAATTTCTCTAGAGACCGTTTCCAGGGGGGCTTAGACCATCGCTTCCAAATCCATTAAAAGTCTCCATTCTAAAAATTAAAAAAAAGCAAACAAAGGTAGAGACAACAGTCCCTGCACAGAGGAATGTGGTTAGACAGGGAGTAAAATGGAGCAGTAAGTGGAGGAAAAAAAAAAGGTAGGGCTAATATAAGAGCAGAAATGCATTTTAAATCAGTTTAATATCAAACCCAATATTTACTTGAAACCTTTTAGTCCTTCCTTCTCTTCCCAATCTTCTAGAACATCACATCAAAAATATCTGCAGCTAGTGAGTAAACCACGGAGACCATCGATGTCACAGTGAGGTCACACCGCAGTCCATCTTCTCTGCAAGAAACCATGCTTTCTTTGCCCTTTTAAAACACTGCCCATAAAACTTGCAAGCCTATTCTGCACCCAACTTTAAATTGGGTATGTCTGACAAGCAATGCCAGTAGCTGCCAGTCAAATTATAACCAGGGTATAGTGTTGCTAGACTGATTGCTAAGAGACTTTGAAGAAAATAGAAGGCATTCCAGCTGAGCAGCATTCCAAGGACACATGTTATGGAGGACAAAGGCTAGTCTCTGACTCAACCCAATAGCACAGTGCAACAACTATATTTATGATATTATTAGTGCATATTGGTGGACAGCATGAAGAAAAGATTCCATTTTCTCACAATATAAATATTTCCGAACCAATTGATTTAATTCAGGTGGATTTAAAAATAGAAAAAGGTGGATTTATGAAATAGAAAAAACTAAATTTGATCAGGAGGAAAAAAAAAGGGGGGATGATGATGTTTTTAGTTATTATCCAGTTAACTTGAAAGACCCCAGTGATGTTATGGATTGTTCACCTCTTTCAAACACATCTACTGTGGTTCATGTACATAGGTATGCATGAACGTAATTTTGGGGGGGAACGGGGGGACCTGTCCCCTTCACTTTTTTCAAACATTGGTTTTGTTCCCCTGCACATTTTACTGTCCAAAAGCAATTTTACGCAACAGTACAGAGATATTTGTCAAACCGCAGTTCCAGCTCAAGTCCTTTTCTCTGAGTTTAGACCCTCCCACAAGCTCCTGATTGGCCCACCGTCTTTTCTTGTGTGATTGGCTGTCACCGCTGTCATTACTGAGAAGCTCACTTTATAAACACTGAATCAGGTCTGTGATTGGATGATCAAACATGCTAAAGTTAGTTATATTAAAAAAAAAAAACTTGACACCCCCCCACTTCTGAAATCTATATTTCGTCTATTTGGGTATGAAATGGTTTGTTTACGTTACAGAATGAAAGCTTGTAGAGATAGAAGAGCAGTCCATAAGTACAAAACAGGGCTTTGAACGTGGGAAGGAGTGAATTAAACTGGAAAATGGAGGTGATTAAAAAGACATTTAATTAGAGAAGTTCTAGCAACCTATAGCGGATATACTGTACAAGACAGTTAGTCTCTAGAGTTAAGCTTAACAGTGGGTTAAGGACAAAAAAGTGCAATAAAGAAAAAGGAAGCTACCATTTAAACAAAAGTTTATTTGCTCATGTCCCCAGGGTAAGGAGTTCCCATGAAAGCCACATACCGAAAAGAGTTATTACAGCACATCAAACACGTTCAACTGCATCACTGTCTCTCACACCCTCACAGTCTCCCTTCCCTCCCAAACACACACCCCTACACACCGACGCAAACACTAAACACACACCAGCTTGTCAGGACGAACTTTGTTGTTTTACACTCGCCCTCTTTTATTCACAGAGGAAAAACCCACACATCCGCATGCAAACTGTCACCCGTACCCAACCCACTCATCCCGCTTTCAATGAAAGAATGCCGAAAGGAATTTCCTGACACCAGTCAAATGACCAAGCAACTGCAACTGTAGGCAAATGTGTTACACTAAAGATAAACATAAAACCAACGCCGCAGCTTAAATCTTTGACATCTCGCACAGGCAGCAAAATGACTGCAGCATGCAGCGTACGTCTGGCTGACATGTCAGAATCATTTACTCTCCACATCTCTGTCTGTGCTCTGATGAACTTTTGCTCTGAGTCTGCCCTTGAGTCTTCTAGGAGTCTCTGAGAACACCTGCAGATGCCTAATTAAACCCTGAAATGTGCCGCTAAAATCGCAGTGACATGTTTGCCTACTGGGTGCCAAAGACATGATCATCTTTATAACTCTAAAAACAAATCAGAGGGCTGAGAGATTTTCTGGAATCTCTAACCTCCAAACAAAAGAGGCTCTGACAGAACAAAAGCGTAAATTTTTATGGACTTTGTATCCACAAAGAAACTTTTTTAACTCATAACCAGGCACAAGCATTAGACTGAAAAAGGAAAACCTAAAGAAAAAAAACTTGAAAAAGATTAGAGATCTACCAATCAAAACCCGATCTGCCTCCTTAGAAACAAATATAAGGTCAGCATAGATTAAAATCATTCACAAAACACGATAAACTCAGAATAAACTCTGTTGTGACCGATTCAAACTGAATAAAACACTGTGGCCATGCTTTTCTGTCATAGCAACTGCAGCTTACCGGAAAGCGGTTGAAAAATTATGAAGGACGATAGAAAGAGAGCTGAGGACTTTGTGTGTGTGTGGGAGGGGAGGGGGGCAGGAAGGGACAGTAGTTTTTCAAACACAGAGAAAGAGAGGGAAAGAGAGATGGAGAGAGGGAGGGCGGGGGGGTTTGAGGGGTGTAGCTGATGGGGTTGGATAAATGTGGGAGAGAAAGAGAATGAGAAAGGGACAAAGAGGAGGGGGAAGCACAGACAAAAAGATGGCTGGGGGGCTGGTGTTGTCTGATAAAATATGTGCCAATGTTTGTGTGAACAACTGGCTAAATCTCTCTTTTAGTGACAACAGCTACATCTGAGGATGGAAAAGTTGAAAAAAAAAAAACAAGCAGATTACATTAGCATAGGGATGCTTTCCGATTGTAGGTCCTGTGACACGTGGGGGTGTGGGGGTGGGGTGTAATCCAAACCTTTGCATGGAATAAAACTACAGTTTACAGTTAATAAAGGCTAAGATCACACAATAATGGCTGAAAGAAATTCACATCTTCTTATCAGTTTCTTAATTTGACAGTTTTCACATTTTACATGCATTAAAAACACGAGGGAAGATATCGGCCTGTTGCGTTGCCCATTTATCATCTTGTTCACTTTAACAGAAAACTATTCAACATGTTACCATCACCTTTTACCTTTGTAGAAGTTTTATATAATTACCTTAAAAAAAAACTATAAACAACAGCAGTAAAGTTTGGAACTAACTTCTATAATTCTTTATTATTATAACATGCCCCTCCTTAATTCTTCACATGTAAGAATAAAAAACTAGGAAACTAACTTCTCTCTGTAAATATATTGAACAAATTATATATAAACATATACTAGTAAACGGTGAAACAATAGTCTATAAAATGAAAAGATTTGCTAAAATGAGTTTCTAGAATGAGCAGTGATTATATGCTGTGATACAGTCTGAAACCAACTCTCCGCTGCAGTGTTTTGCATATACCTCTGTAGCTCATTAGCAGACAGAGCAAGCTTGGTGAAACTGCACCAGAGAGTCAGCTACATTTAACATGTCCCCTTGTCTGCAAAGTGAGAAACAACAGAGCCATCTAATTGCGTGTAGATAAAGGAGTGAGAGGAAGAACAACCCTTCCTTTTGGCTGGGGTCAAATCAAAGCCAGATTCATACCTGTTTGCAACCCAGACCTTTTCATGCGTGCTTAATTCAATGTTCCTACCTATCTCTGTCTTCTTCTAATTCGGAATCAGTCCCACAGAGATTTACAGCGGAGATGGAGGCTGAGTAATGTGGGAAGACAGAGGAAGCACAAGGTCTGAAAGCTGCTGGCCAAAATTCAAATGGGCTCTGAATCAAGCAGCGACTTCCCTGATGATTTTAATGTCCCTGCAGCTCAGCTGCTGATTCTACACTTGGATAAATACAAAAAGCATGGTTCCTGGGAGAGGTTTATCAGACATGACTCATACTGTCACATTTCTGCAGGCTTGCCTTTACAGAGCTCAGTAGCTTCTCATGCTAATCTCACTGTAGCCCAACCAATGATAACTCATAAACCAGGGATCTTCAACGTTTGATGGGACAGGTGTTGTGAATGAAACGGTGCCCAGCTTGAAAGAGCTCCTGTGTGTTGCTGAATGTGTGCATTGATGACTGATTTTCTGCCTCCATTTATCTGTTTACTACAGTGTGTTGAATTCATGTTAATGTGGATTTAAAGACATTTCAATTAGTGGAAAAATGGGGGGGAATATAAAAAAAAAGTCTAATCAACCAAAATTTTTGTGACCCCCGTGCAGTACTGCTGTGGACCCTCTATTGGTCGCGGACTCCCTGTTGAAGACCTCTGTCATAAACGGTAACTGAGAATATTTACCAGTGCTAGAAAAAGTATTCATACCCTTTAAACTTTTCCATTCTATACTATAATAGGAAAACCATAAACTTAATGTATTTCAGACACAGTAGTACATGACTTAGACATCAACATATTTTACCCTAAACACTGTTATTGCCGTTCTTGTTGAGGGTGGTTGTGCTGCTAGAAGGTTATCTACTGTCCTGTCTGTTTTCAAACCCAGCCCTCTTTTAACTAACTGACTTTCTTGGCCCAGATCCCCACAGTATTATACTGCAGCTGATGTGTTAACAATGGGTGTGTTTTTCTGTCTGTTTTGAAGAAAAGCATCCAATACGAAGCTGCTGCCACCAACATGCTTCATGAGGGGAAGGTTTCATTCAGGGGGATTTAAAAAACAAACACGATGTTCAGTGTTTTAACTCCTTTCCAGTGCCCCCTGCATGGCTTGCAGAATATTGCAAAAAGAAACCATAATAATAAGGCTGTTTTCTTGGACAGAGGGTTTCTTTTTGTCACTCCATCATGAGGGTTTGACTGGGGAGAGCAGAACTAATGGCTGTTCTGTTGAAATATTCTGGATCTAAGCTCTGCAAATCCTCTCAACATTGAATAATACATGAACAGCACCCTTGAATAAAAGCTTTTAAAAGCATTAAACAACTTTTTCCTTCCACTAAATCTTTATTAAAAAAACAACTTACATTTAAAACTTTTTCACAGAATTTGATCTTGACCTTCAAATTAGGTGACCTTTGCTAATATAAAAAAAAAAAATCATCCTTTGTTTTTAGTGAAAATGACCCCAAAAAACTTAAGACAGCTGGGAAGAAAGTTTCTTCTAAATGCCTGAACAAGCAGTTCAGCACATGTTGCCCGCTTCTCTGCCTTCAAGAAATATCAAATACCAGCCGCTGGAATCAAACACACAATTGATTGTTCTTGTCCTATTACGGAAACCCAAGGCTCAAAAAAACAACAAGCACTTTTGTCCAATCCAGGTCAAGCATGTGAGACTGGAGTGTAGGTAGTAGGACACACGCAGTACTGTTCACTGGGATGGAGCAAAACAGAGAGAGGGAGAAAGATGTGTGTTATCTAACCCCTTCACATTTTGTCCGCTTTGATTCCCCTCTGCGGGCGAAACCACACAGATCTAGGTGAAAGGAAAGCTTTGTAATCAGCCAGTGATTAACAACTATTAAATATTACTTAAGTGGTCTAATAGTGTGGGAGCTATATCTAAAACTGAACCCCCTGCCCTATTTATAATCACAGTGCTATAAACGAGGAAGATACCAGAGTTCAGCAATGTAGCAGAATTAGGAAAGAAAGGTTTGCTTAATTTACACATGCTTACATAACTCTACTCTCTATCTATCTATCTATCTATCTATCTATCTATCTATCTATCTATCTATCTATCACTCATGTTTAAGCTGTGTTTGTCTTCTGTGATGTATTTATTTTTCTGTACAGCACTTTTGTCAGCTGTGATTTTGTAAATGCTTAAGAATTAAAATTGGATTAGATTGGCTAACGGTTCGATTATTTTCGATACTCAAGAACACACCACGGTACGATTTGATTTGACTAAATGGTTCTTTTTTTTTTTTTTTTTTTACTTACAGGCTAGACAATGTTTCAAAGTTGAACTAAATCAATGCAAGCTGTAATATCGTTGTGCATTTTATTTGAGAAAACAGCAAATAACAGAAGTAGCAAAGTTGTACTCCACCTAGGCCTATGAAAACCTGAATGCATCGTCGGCTGTTGGATCGATGCATCGATACAAAACGAATATTATTTACACCCCTAATATCTATATATCAGTGTGTGTTATATATATATCTCAGTGTATATATGTGTGTTAAAGCCACAGAATAGCAATTTCTACGGCTTTCAGGCTGCAGGCACAAGCTCAGAAACAGCTTGTGTGTTTATTTATAGGGTGCAGCTTGCAAAGCAATGATGTCTGGACGTAAAGGTAACATGAAACACTGCTATTGGCTAACAGGGAGCTCAGCTGACCTGAGGAACGCCGTGCAGGAGAGGCAAAATACAATCTCCATAGAGGGGAAGAGCAGGTGAAAGGGTGCAGAAACCCTCCTGGTCCCCTGATGTTGGGACTAGGCTGCAAATCCTACAGTAGAGGAGCTTTTATTATGAGGGCCCTACAGCTGGGTCTACGCCACAGTGCTCTTTATATTACAATTATTATTTATATATATAATTAGCTGTACAACAGAATAAATACACTTCAAGTTTAACCCCATTAAATAATAGATTTAAAACAACCCAGTTGTAAGGAATAATAGCACAGTCATGTAGCTGAATAAGAACAAAAATCACTTACCTAAATGTAACGTCGTACCTTATCTGCTCTGCGGTGATTTAATTTAAAAATGACAGCTTCGCCGTAATAACTGTAAACTGGATTTATATTAACGACCGGATTACCTAAGAGAAAACATGCATCACATCTTATGTGTGAAACATTATTTAAAGCTATAGGGAAAAAAAAAAATTTCTGAATAAAAAAAAAAAAAAACACACACACACAAAAAAAAAAAAAAACTGGGGATTCCTGTTGGTTGGTCTGGTCTCGGTGTTTAAAGGCAGGGAAAATCCCCCCCAGCACCGGAGCAGCTCCGGTGTCCGTGTGTGACAGCGAGGCAGCAGCTGTCCGTAATCAGCTCAACGTCGGTTCACTCATTTTACCTCCAACCAGCTGCTCGCTGGTCGGCTGTGAGGTTAACGGGAGGCGATAATCCGTAAAATGTCAGTAACTTGTGTCCATCGTTGACAGGAGGACTCCTTCCGATCAGCAGGAGCAGGTTCGCGTGCCTACTGACAGAGCGCTCCCTGCCACTGGGATCATCATCATCAAAAACATACGCTCTCACAAAGTGACAGTTAACCGCTGTCACCACTAGAGGGCAGTGCGCGTCCTGTTTATTAGCCCAACCTGTTAGAAATGTTTTCATTTCATTGGAACATTTAAAAAGGTCTTAAAAAACTTACACCCCATTAACAATGTATCAATAGGGTGTAAGGCTGTTGTGTTTTTAAATATTCAAAAGAAACTAAAACATATCTAACAGTTGGGGATAAAACAGTATGATTTGACTGAATTGACAGTAAAATTCCTTATGATGGCATATTTGTGAAATGAGCCAGTAGAAATTCAACTGAATCAGATTTATGTAGAACTCCCCTTTAGAAGTAGAAGGCCCCTTCAATATGTGGAAACTCTTAAAAAAAAGGAATAAAAAAAAAAAAAAATAAAATAAAATATATATATATATATATTCATCTTCTGTCACGCTTATCCCAAGTGGGGTCGCGAGGGTTGCTGGTGTCTATCTCCAACTATCTACGGGAGAGAGTTGGGGTCCACCCTGGACAGGTCGCCTGTCCATTGCAGGGCAACACAGAGACACACAGAGACAAACAACCATTCACACACACACTCACACCTAAGGAGAATTTAGAGAAGCCAATTAACCTAACAGTCATGTTTTTCTGCCAGAGTACCCGGAGAGAACCCACACATGCTGAGGGAGAACATACAAACTCCATGCAGAAAGACTCGAACCCAGAACCTTCTTGCTGTAAGGGGACAGTGCTACCCACTATATAAAATATAGTGGGTAGACAGTGCTATATATATATATATATATATATATATATATATATATATATATATATATATATATATATATATATATTTGAAGAGTTTAGTCTATATTCAATTTCTGGGTTTAATTAATTAATAATAAATAAATAAGTGAACATCATTGATCTCAAAATGGGGAAATTCACTGTCTGCATCTTAACCCATTCCCTTAGGGAGCAGAGGGCTGTGTACAACCTTCTCAGAGCACAAACATGCTGCTCTAACCCACTAGGCAAACACTCCAACAGAATTATATTTGTATAGTAGAATCTAGAAATTTAGAAAAAGATTATTATAAAATCTAACTGTATTGAAACTGTATAAAATAATACACAAATATATAAAGGTACCATAGGAATACCCTCAAAACAGACACATACCTCTTCTTCAAATTCTGTGGTCAAGCTGTTTTATAATTTCAAAATAAAAGTAAAAAAAAAAAAATTCTGAATGCATCATATTAAAAACTATTATTACTGATTATGTTTGTTATAATAATGATTAAAGACCTTTCGAAGGTATTGATTTTCAGATAAGAAATGTTCTAAATTCACTTCATAGCCTTCATCCCCTCTGTCAGAATAAACTGAATAACCTCTATCAGATGTGAACAGCTGTCGCCCCCTAGTGGCACCTTAACTCTATGTGATGTGCAAAGAAAACAGGCGTGGATTTTGTTTTATTCTTTATTATAGATATTACAGTGCAACACAAACTTGAATGTTTTTTAAGAAAAAAAAAATATTTACACAAAGCTAACATAACGGAATGCAGATAGTGTTTTGAAATGTGCTTATTGTAAAACAGCTAAAATCGTTTATTATTCACATTTCTCTCTTTCTTAGTTTACAAGAGGACAAATGAAAACAATTTCTAACAAAAAAAAAAGCACAACCACCCAAGGAAGCTTTAAAGCACTCAGTGGGAAAACATTTGCAGACCTGAGACTACAAAACCATTCAAGGCAAACAGAATTTCAATCTTGTTCTCTGCAGTATAGAAATATCTAAAATAAATATTTTTATTAAGTTTATATGTCTCTCAAGGCCAAAGAAATCTGTAAACATGTAGGCAACAACTGGTGCATCAAGTTCTATGGATATTATGGCAGTTAGTGCTAAGTAAAATCGCTTTAGTAGAATATGAATAATATTATGATACTGTATTTAATAATGTGCACATTAAACCTATCTGCAGCAGCCATGGTAAATATTGTGTACCTCCAGGTCGTTTCTACTGTTGATTAAAAACCTGATATTTTTTTCATCCTAAAGTGTCAGCTGAGTTTTGTTAATTAAACCCAGAATTTACTCTTTAGGGGCAGTTTTTAAATATCTTTAAAGGCTTTAAAAAGTTTAAATAAAGCTTCACGATCAGTCATAGTTACATTTTGGCCATCAAAAAAATGACATAATGGTATTTTTGCTAACCATGGCATACATCTTTTTTTCTAGAACTTTCCTTCAGCTTAAAAACTGCTAAGGAAGCTTAGTCGGAAATCCTGTACAACCGGATTCCAGCTCAAAAATAATCTGCACATTCAGTTCCGTCTTTTTTCCAAAGCAGGGAAAACAAAATAGTACCTGTGGATCCTTCTAAAAGTTTCAGGTATTTAGAAGCTCCTCTGCCTTTGAACAGTCACTGCGTTTCTCCGCTGGGACTTCAGGCGTCACAGTGACGTCTGAGAGACTAGTCAGAGCTGAATTAACCTTCGAGGGGCGGACGCAGGGGAATACAGCCATCCATCTCTAGGGACTCGGGCCAGCCTTCATACTTGTTGCTGCTCTTACTGTTCTTCATCCGCTAATGGAAAGAGAAACAGGCAAACAGAAGTGATGTCACCATGACTAAGATCAGCATCTCAGGCCCTAAACTGACAGAGGTTTCCAGGAAGCAGTCTTAAAACAAGTTTAGTTTCTTATTTTTCTAAAGGTTACTTAAATCAACCACTCAATAATTTCATCTTTAGAACTTTTCTTTGAAAATATGATTGCCAAATAAAGCCATTTTTGACACTAAGCACACTGCCGACTGCAGATTTTCTTTTATTGTCTAGTAATAAATGAAACTTTCATCTTTCAATGCCAAAGATATTGACACAGGTTCATTTCAGAGCAGATCTCACTGCAGAACACTTCATTTCTTAAACATCAATAATTCAAACCACTTAAAACTCTTTTGCTGTGCTTCAAAAGAATTTTACTTTGACTAATAATTGAAAGCTTTTTAAGGCGTATTAGAATTCCATTTCTAATATTTGGTTATGGTTTCAGAAAAAAAACACACGCTGGTTGAGGACATGATCTTAGTCCTGGTATTATTCTGGATCAATGTTTGAGGTCTGTCCTTATCGGAAACTGCTCAGCTGATTCAGGTTGGTTGGTTGGTTTCCAGGCAGGCTGTTAAGCATAGTCCATAAATTTTAAAAAGGGCTGAGGAAGGTAAGAAGCTGATCCAAATGCTTAATATTAGCCTGCTTTACCCCCTTGAAAACAATCTAATGTGTTTGTGATCACTGTCTCCCTCGTAGTCCTCTTCTTTATTATTCCTTTCACTGTGTACATTAAAACAGACCCTCAGTATAATACTACCGCCTCCATGCTTAGATTAGATGAGATTGTGTGTTGTTAGTAGGCCTGACGCATCAAAATGACTACTTCAGACATACCTCAAACTATTCCTGTAAAGTTCTGAAGAAAATTAAATTTGACTACTCCGTGTTGTAAACTCTAAGAAACTAGAGCATTAACCTTCAGTATAAACTGATGATAAACCAGATAAATACGCGGTTCTACGGTCGTATCTGATCCTCCTAAAGAACTTTGCTTCATTTAAGGGGGACTTCTTGGGTCAGATGGTGGAACCCTAGACAAAGTTTTGTCATCCAACGGAACGACAATCTTAAACAGCCATCAAAACTATGCTTGGAATGGATAACAGACAAACTGTAAACTTTTAGGATGGCTCCACAATCAAATACAATCACCTTTAACAACTCTGTTGTTTCTGATAAGAGGAGTGGTCAAGTACTAAAAATGTAAAGCTGAAAGCTTATTGATGGTTAGGAAAACTACATGGGTTCTTTGCAGCTTCTTAACTTATAGTCAGAGATGATATAAATATACAGAACTTTGACTCGGCGTGGTAAAAGAAACATGACAATATTTAAAACTTACGCACCAAGCTGTATTTCTTTAGGTCATGAAGATTGTATGATTATCCCATCAAGACAAAACAAATGAGGAAAACATGCAAATAAAAGACACAAAAGTATTATGATAATCATGACAATCAGAGTAATCAGACCTCTTATCAGGTGTTCTATACTTTATAATGCTGCATGAGGTGAAACCAGTCAGAAACAACCCAAAACCTTATTAAGCAGTAGATAAAGAACCAAATTCAGCCCACTGAACTTTCAGCATTAAAAAACTTCCATTGCTTCCCATGGATTAAAACTACTGACAACTATAAGATACAGATGAGGCACAGAAGAATGGCAATGAAGGCTTTCACCAACATTCAGAGCATCAGACTAGCAGTGCAGCTCATACCTGCTCAAAGGGGCTCTTATTCTCTATGCCCTTGGCTCCAACAAACACCCAGCTGTCTCTAAAGGCCAGCTCCTTCACAGCTGTGCTGCCGAGCTCCTCAAACAGTCGTCTGGACTCTTCATTCATCCTGCCAAAGACAGGAAAAACAGGCAAGCAGGTACATATTTAATGACAAATGTCCTTTAACTTAATACTTATGTACTGCAAAAAAATGTAGATTTGTTTTTTTTAATGCAGAAAAATATTTGATGTTGATTTTCAGCAAATGCATTAAAGTTTCACTTAATTTGCACCAGAAATATTAAGTATGAAATTAGCCGGGTCGCTGTCTTAATGATGAGAAATCAAGCTACCTTATTTACAAGGGACAGCTTTGTAGCCAACAGTTATAGTTACACAATTTAGGTTTTAATTTGGTTCACATTGTTACCTCAAAAAGAGGAGTTAAACAAAGTAAGGCCAAAAAAAAAAAAAGGATGACAAGCTTATAAAAAGAGATTCTCATTCAGTTTAATCAACTACTCAAAACTTACATTTTCTACATAAAAACTGATTTATTTAAACAAGAGACGTCTAAATGAAAATGAGCTATGCTACCAAAGTCATCGATACTTACTTTGTAGCAGCGTCATCAAAGGAAGCAACAAACACGAGGGTTCCCTCATGAAGGGGCCGTAGAAACTTCAGTAAGCTGGACACATCTGAGAGGAAGCGTCAGATGAGTTTAATGTTTCCACCAGTACTGGAATAAAGCTAAGGCACCAGTTTCTGCATGGTTTTATTACCTCCTGCCCACATATCAAAGGTTTTTGTCTCCAATAGCTCGCCTGTCACCCCTAAATGCAAAGATCCAGTGTTAAAACTTCACTATGGCCAGTGGTAAAAATAAACAATAGACTAGAGTCCACCGTAAGTTTAACATGAGTCTCACCGTTCACCAAAGCGATATTGAGTCCTCTGCCAACGTTGTTCTTCACGCTGCTCATCAACCTAAGAGACAGAGACACAACCCTTCAATCTAGGTACAAATAGTTGATAATCTCATCATAGGTCTTATTTTTTTGGGTGATTTGGGTTTTTTCCTTTCTTATACAGGCTATTATAATTCCTTATTCCTGTTTTCAGTTCAGATTTCTATACTTTTTTAAATCTTCTAACATATCCTTTTAGCTTTTTACAGATGGGTGAACATATTTGCCCTTTTCTTTTGTCACAAGCACCTGAATGTAACAGCTGCGGCTCAACGAAATATATTTCTTCCATTTCTAATTGTGTTCTCCTCCCTTCTACACCGATTTCCCTGAATAAAGTCCAGCGCAACCAACTACCTTCTGAAGTCAAAATAGGGAAAAGCTCACGTTTGTTTAATTAAAGTGTCAAAATCAACTTTTTGCAAGCCTGTAACTATATAATGATATTGTGGTTTTTTGATTAATAAATGCACATCTGAGTAACCCTCATGAATTCTGCAGCAGCCCCTCTCTGTCCTGGAAAACAAATAGTTAAAAAGTTGTACCATCTGCACAACTTTTGCAAATCTGCACAGTGACAGCAACTGCTCCTTTATTAGCTCATGTTTGAGTGGCAAAATTTGGGTTTTCAGTTGTGAGAAGCCTCAAATAATCTGCATACTTCCAGAAGTGACACGATACGGCAACATCAAATTACGTATCTTTCTGTTAACATTTATTGTCAAATGAAAACTACTCAGTGCCAAATGCAATATAACATCATCTACATGCCTAAAGTTAACTGTTGAAGGATGAGTAAAAACAGCATGATATAGGACCTTTAAATCTGAGTATAAATCCAGATGTTATATGAAGGCCTCAGAGGTTTGTTAATGAACAATGATGTGCAAACTGCACCATGAAGACCAAGGAACAGAGCAGACAGGTCAGTGGGAAGGATTTGAAGAAGTTTAAAGCAGAGTCAAGTCATAAACAGAGCAATTCATAACGATGAATACAAACAGTGCACAATCACAAGGAGGTTATTTAAGTTTAAGAGGGATTGAAACTTTGACTAGAGTTCATTCAACGATGTATGGCGCTAAATGCTTGGCAGTCAAGGAAGGGAAACTTGTTTGAAGCTTAGAAATAGGCAGCAGGACAGCAACACTACGATATAGACAAAGCTACAATGGAATACTTTAAATCAATCATGTTTAAACGTTGTGCCAAATTAGTTGTATGCTCCAACCGAAATCTTTAATCAAACTCCAAACATGAAATATTTTATTAAAAGAAAAAGCATATCTTTTTTGTAGACAAATGTTAGATCTTACATGTCAAAAGGATCACACACCTTTCCCTTATTGACAGAAATGTGTATAATTTCTAAAAACATGGGTCAATATTTTTATCTACTCTATAACGACAAGGTTTCTTTCTCTTCAAAAATGCTGCCTTAGATCAGAGCATATTCATGTCAGAACGGCTCAGTCAGAGAAATACACATCTAAACCCAACTTAATATTGGTGGCAAGACTTGGAGATTGACCTATGTATGCAGATGTTCTCTATTCAATAAGGCTGAGCCTGAGCTATTCTGTAAAAAGGATGGAATAAGCTGGTAGCTGCTATAATCCAAAATACCTCCTTCGGTAAATGCTTTGAAACACTGTTTTTACAAAGTCACCTAGAGGGGTGAGGCTTCTGATTAAAATAATCAAAAAAGCTAAATTAAATCATGTCAAACTTTTCTTCCATTTTACAATTTTGCACAACCTTAGGCTGGTCTTTTACTTAAAATCTAAATAAAATGTACTAGACAGCATTTTTGATGTAGAAAAATGTGAGAATGTCTTAGAGGGATTACTTGTTATATTTCAGCATCTTTTTACTCTACTTTACTTTAACGAAGCAAACAAAAGGGATCAACAAAGAATGGTATATTAAAGGACCATTGGATTGAGACAATACTTGCATCAAAATCCCCTGAAATACTTGGAGGCCTTATTAGGAGATCAAATAAGAAGAAGAAGAAAAAAAACAAAAACAGAAAAAAAAAAATAAAGTAAACCAAAATGAATTAAAAAACAGAGAGACAGCAGCAGAGTCAAAGACATGAAAGAAGGAGACAAGATGTTTATACAAAGTGATTAATCTTACATTTTATCTTCCAAGCAGATTTTTGGGCCAATGACGTTTGCAGCTCCAGACACCAGACGGAAAGCTAAATGCTTTGGAGGACAGGGGGCTGAAAGTCCACATTTGTACCTCCGCGGACGCAATTCAGCTAAAATAGATCACATATTAGCCAGCGGTAATTAAATCCACAAACTCACAGCCCCTTGGTCCCATCTCTCTTTCCCACTTACACTGGGTCGGTTCTTCTTTGGAGCCTGAAAGACACAAACGCTTTCTGATTAACAATGAAACCTTTGATTTGATTTGACGTCATAGTGTCCTAGATCTCACTAATAGCTGCCAAATGAGTTGATAATAAACTGGCTTTTAACAAATAAAATTTCAGAAACTGGAAGTAAAACCCATTACAATGCTTTCCACCTTATTTTTCCGTCTGATCAGAAGAATTTCAACCACTTCAGAAAAATATTGAGAACTAACATAAAACCAGACATAAAGTTTAATATTTTTCCTAAACCTAGAAATTAATTAATTGAAGATCAGCTGTTTTACCCGTGAAGATGTTTCGCACAGATAAGCTGCCCTCTCCTCCGAATAAGGCGCTGGCGAGCAGCCAGGTAAAGCCCACCAAGAGCAGCACCACCACACCTCGCAGGGGGCCTGTCAGCGGAATAACAACACACAAGTTCAGGCAAAACACACCACAGATTAGACTCACTGGAACAAACCAAACATTGCAGCTCACCTGTCAGTCTCATGATTCACCGTTTCATAGACCTGCAAAGACCACAAAACAGAAGTTAGAAGTAAGACAAAGGGATTTTTTTTATATACAGACACAAATCAGAATTTTATTGAAGATTATACTTATTTCAATACACCAAACAAAAAAATTGGAAAAACATTACACACAGAACAATTTTAAAGCCTTACTTTTAATGGAAATAAGGAGAGAAAACATTTTGATAAACAAACGTTGCCTTAATTAAAATCATGTTCTACCTGCTAAAAGGTTGTTAGTTTTAAGATACTTTAACAAACAAGCCTCTTTGGGAGGTGTACATTAAAACTATAGAATATGGCTGTGGATGTTTTATACAGGTATGTCGGCTGTTCTGTTTGCACTGCAGCTGCAAAACATTTGAGGATTTTTTTTCCTTCCCGTTTCCAATTTCCTCCCAAAGTATCTGTCAAAGGAAAACTGGTTCTTTTTTTCTTCTTTATGGTGCATCCCATGCTGGACTTGCTTGTGCACAGCCGTCTTTACTTTAGGCATGGCGGCACATTTATTTGCATTTTATTTACTTTAACCAAAAACAAATGACCTTTTTATAGTCTTACTGGGTGCTATTTATACAGACCTGAACTCTGCCTGGAAGTGCACTGGAAAACCTCAGCTCTTCAGTTCAATTTGGAGGACTTTTTCCTAAAGAAGCTCCCCATCAGTTGTCAAGCTTCAGCCACTCTGGGATCAACTTGGACCTTTAAAGCCCAAACCACTTCCTGAGGATATGTGGTTTATTATTTCAAGTACATAATAATTTCATTAATAAAAAACAGCTTGGACATTTGGTTAGCTCAACATGGTATTTCAATGACAAATCTCAATGATGAGCTTTTTTGACTTTGAAATGAGAGACAGGGTCTTGACAATATAGAGGTTTTCACATATAATCTGGTATAATATGTGAATATGTGGACGCACTGTATATACTGTATATATCCCATACACCTTTTCCTTCCTTTAGCACATTCTTCTTATTTGACTATTTAAGCAGATGTAACAAGTAAATTTCTCCACTGTGAGATCAATAAAGTCAATCAATCAAAAGTTGTGGGGTTATTATTTTTTTTCTTACAAATTGATAAAGATAATATTTTAAAACATTTAGTTTAGCATTTCTGCACAGATTCAGTTAAATTTAAATTTTTAAGTCCTTATTCTAGCATATAGATAAGAGGATGGACATGGTGATTCCTGCCCTAAAACTATGGGAAGGTATGAAAATTTGCAAAAGTAAACACACAAAAATAACCCGGACAACTAGACATGGGCGCGTTAAATCAACTAAATAGATTCCCGTTCCCTCACATTTGTACGTAGAATTTTAAACAGCAGATTTTACCTACTTTATCAATTCTCGAGGCGAGCTTTCACCGAGCTTGTCTCCTTTGCTGCGACGTATGGGCGGACGGATTAGTAAACTATCGCTCTTTTCGCCGGACTTTCACTGTTTTCTGCGCAGCTTCTTCATTGAGACCGTTTAACAGACATATCTAAATAAAACAATGCAACTTATGACACTTAACCCACTTTACGCAAGACGCTGTCGGCAAGACGGGGAAAAGAAATACGTTTTCATTTGGTAAAACTTCCGGGATGTGAGGCTATCGAGAAGACTCACTCTGCGCATGCGCACAACTGCTTAGGCGAACAGATTTATTTATTTTTTACTTTACCCGTTCTTTTACAAACTGTATGGGAAATAATGAAATACATATTTAATATTGTTTATTAAAAATATAATGGAGTAACGTGTGCTCAAAAAAAAAAAAAAAAAAAAAAGAACGAAATCACGCGATACTTTGATTCACACGCGACTTCTGCATTGCGAACAAGATGGCTGCCCACAGAGCTGTGCTCTCGGTCTCTAAAGTTATAAGTCCTCTCTGGGGTCGAAACCTAGCAAATACGGTAAAGGTAAGGTTGAATAAACTTTTTTTCTTGGGTCATTAAATAATATTTTACAGAGGCTGTATTTTAAGCGTGTTTGTCTCAACCAAAAACAAGGTCAAATTTCCAAAATGTCAGTTCCTACCTGTCATTTTTACTCAGGTCTAGCATAAAATTACGTATTTTATCATTTTTTTTAGGTATTTGGAACAACTTTGGCAAGTCACCGGAATAAATCATTTTATGCTGTGAGTATGTGATTATTGTAAACCACATTGTAATTTATCATATCCTCCTGGATCACGAGAGAGACAGAAATAATATGCTATATTGCTGTAATTTGCATGTTGCAATCAAACTAACCATTGTCCTTCTTTCCTCCCCACCTTCCTTCATCAACAGAGAGACTTAATTGTAAGTAGCAGATTTTTTGGTTTAAATTTTTTTTTATTATTTTATTAAATTAAAATTAAATTTAATGTAATAACCTTTTCTGTGTTAACAATAAGCAATTTATCAGCTCAGGATTCAAATTATCCAGTTTGTCCTGTTAAACAAAACTCAGAATGTTAAAATTTTTTATCCATTAAATACAAAATTAAGAACTAGGCCACTAGTTTATAATCACATCCACCATCAATGTGTTTGTTTGTCTACTTTTGTGATTTTAATAACAAAACAGATAAATATTGGGGAATATTTTTAATTAGATTTCAAACTGCTACCCATATAAAATATCATACAGCACTTTTTTGTTTACTTTTATATGACACACATTGAAAGAACGAAAGAAGGAAAGTATTAATTAATTAATTTAAATATTTTTTTTTTTTACAATTTTGGTATAATTACTCTTCTAAATGGGTTGCTCTGTCAGCTAAAGTTATGTTTTAGAGTCTTTATACTCCAGTTAACAGTTATTCGATTATTCAATTATTTGACAGTTATTTTAATAATCACAATTTTTCTGAGCCCTAGAAGTTGCTTTAATTCTGCTTTATTGATATTAACCTTTCGATGACTGAGATTAAATCTTCAGCGCCACTTTTCACAGTTTAAGCCTTTTCACCCTCCTTTGTTGCTGCTATGTGTAAATATTTGTGCTTCGAATAGTTATCTTGGAATGTGGGACACCTCTAATAAAAATGTAATTAAAATCTGTCCATAACCTTTTAGGTTGTCCTGTACACAAGCAGATAAAAACAAACACACACTCTCCTTAAAACAAAGTCTTTAGTGGAGGTAATTAGGGCTGAGTGATTTTTCTCAAAAATATAAGTACATTGTTGATTGACTTTACTGTTACTGCTGCGTGAAAAAGTACCTCATTGTACTCGCATTCATAGATCTGCACTCTAGCTGCAACTCCCTCTTCCCTCTATGTGGTAGCGAACCCACCTAAAGCCTATTACCACCACCAAAAAGCCTGGAGTGATAAAGTCTCTGTCTTACTCCTGATAAATGTGTTGTGACAAAATTTGAGTGCCTTGCAATTTGTAAAAATGGTTAAAAATGTGTAAAAATAGTTTTGTTAAATTGCAATTAAATGAAAAAATAAAGTTAATGTTAATGCGCAAGAGGCTTGCATAAGAGTGAAATAAACAGCTGGGACTGGATCAGTGTGCAAAGTTCGAAGCTGAATACCAACAATGCAATTTTTTTATAGACTTTTATGCTATTTTAGGTTTATAAATGTTACATTTTGTTATATACCCTGGTTCTGGGGGAAAAAAAGTGGAAAAATACTTGCTTCATAAATGTTTTGTAGCCATTAAAATGCTTGAGTGTTATTTTATGGGTTAAATAGTTGAGTAAAAACATTTGGCACAATCTGGCACATTTAGAGAGGTTTGGAAACACTGGTGGCACCAAAAGTTCAAAGCCCCACAGCTCTGGAACTGTTGTAGCTAGAGGTCTGAAATGTTCTTCATTTGTGGTTAACATGATTTAGAACAAATGCAATACAATGAGACATGCCTATCCTCAAGCATGTCTTTATGACTGCTGTTCAAAAAAGACCTTTTATTTTCAAGACAAAAAAAAACAACAACGTTGATTCATGTTTGAACTGATGCAATTGATATTAAACTGACATTTTCATTTATATTTTCAGAAACTAGGCGATGTTAGGTTCCAAACGATGTATCACACATGTAATCTGGGCTTACAGTTCCTTAGTTATTTGCTTTTCCATTTGGGTATGCAAAATAGGTGAGGATTACTTCAAATTGGGTGGGTGTTAAGAGGTTTTAAAGACCTTGTATATAAAACAGAATAGAAAACATGTGAAAATAAAGACCTTTTATGATTGCACTGTCATGCTAGAATTAAATTTGGGTCTCATTATTCTTGTGTTTGTGGATTATTTTTTTTGGGTGTGTCTTAAACTTCAGCGTCAGGTCATCATGCAGCTGCCTTCAGAATAGGCCCCTGCTGGCAAAGCAGTATAAAAAACCAACAGAGGGGCTGCTTCCATCTTAGCAATATATATGTATATGTAGAAAAAAAAAAAAACAACTAGCATCAAATCTAATGACTTTTTCCTGTCTTGGAGACTTTAGTGACAACATTTTGAGCACCGATCGATCTTAGTTTACCGTCTTCAGCACACACTTCGTGAACAAGCCCCTCCCTCCTCAAAAATACAGACCAGGCAGCTGTAGCCTGTGTCTTCTGGTTCCCCATTGAATATGAGTCACAAATGTGCAAATGAGCTGACCCCCCCACCCCCCCCCCCCCCATCCCCCGATTAAAAATCAGCGTGTAAATATAATATTTTGCATATATTTTTCCTTTAAAACTGTGGCAGTGTAATGGAGTAGTGGGTTGCTGTGGTTACAGTGGCCCTAGCAGACACACAACCAAAGCATTACAGGGCAAACTGATATTTTTTCATTACTTTTGAGACCTAAGTTCATATTCTTGGTCATGTTTTTAATTTTTCATATTCAGATGGGTGATTAATAAAACATTTCTGTGGTTGGACAAACTAAAAACACACTTTTATTTATATTTTACTCTGTCTTTAAGTGTAAAAGATTAACAAATATAGATTTACTAACATGGGATATCAGTTTAAGGCAAACTTTGCACTTTTAATATAAAATAATTAAAACCAAGTGTTCTGCTAATTTTCAACTTATTTAAAATATCCAGCATTTCTGTTTAACTAATATTGTGTTTTATCCTTTGTTTGCAGCCCCCTCCTGCCAAGTATGGAGGCAGACACACTGTGACCCTCATACCGGGGGACGGGATCGGTCCAGAGCTTCTAAGTCATGTCACAGAGGTTTTCAGGTTAGCTCTCATTGGGGTTAAATCTTAATAGACTCAACTATACAAAGATGATTCCTCCTCTATCCTTATGGTTACTTATCATGCCTGTAGGTATAGCTGTGTTCCTGTAGACTTTGAGGTCGTGAACGTCAATTCTGCGCTGGAGACCGAGGATGATATCAACAATGCCATTACTGCGATCCGCCGAAATGGAGTCGCTCTTAAAGGTAAGCTAAAATGCCTCTTTTAGCCACAGTTCGACCATAAAAAGTTTATGCAGGGTAGCTTATCATTTATCGTAAGGCTCTGATACTACAGTCTAACTTTAGTATGACCTAACTCTCCTTGTAGGTAACATAGAAACCAAACATACAATGCCGCCATCTGTGAAATCCAGAAATAATCTGCTACGGTAGGTTGGAAAAAAAATTCACCTCTCTTAATAAATACCTTGTTTTGTCTGATGGTTCACCTTAAAAAGGTTATTTGATGCCCTGTGTGTTTGATCATTTCTGTTATGCCACAGGACAAGCTTGGATCTGTACGCCAACGTGATGCACTGCCAGTCCCTCCCTGGAGTCCAAACTCGGCACAAGAACATTGACATCCTGATCATCAGGGAGAACACAGAAGGAGAATACAGCAATCTGGAGCACGAGGTCAGACCGGGAGGCAGATAAATCTGTGCTCTGCATCACATGCCTTTATGTTTTTCCATAAATAGTGCCATTTATGAGCCTTAAAATGAAGAAACAGCCTGCAGCATAAGATAAGCTCAACCTATTGACCTGCTGATGGAGAGAACCAATGCTGACTTCATTAAACTGTCTGAATTGGTGCCGCTGGTCTCAGTCAGCAGTAAATTAGGTTTGTTAGTCAAAGGTAATTAAAATGTGACGAGGAGATGGACTAAAGTATTAGCTTACAGGTAATGAAATTAACTTTTATCAGTGTGTGATGTGTTGCCATGAGACAGAGCAGTTTTGTTAGGTTTATGCTGTTGTATCTGAGGTGAGTTAAAGGAAATTATTCATTTTTATTCCTTCTGCTCTGTTTTCTTTAGTCTGGGTTTTTAACGTAGCTCTAGATTCAGGTGTGAATATACAGTGCTTTGAAAAAATATTCTATTAGGACATTTCTTCATGGCTGTATTGAAAAAGACAAAGAAGACAAAGGAGATTGTGGTGGACTTCAGGAGAAGGCCTGCTCAGCACACTCCCCTGATCATCAACGGTGCTGAGTGGGAGCAGGTGAGCAGCACCAAGTTCTTGGGTGTCCACATCTCTCAAGACCTGTCCTGGGACACCAACACCGCGTCCCTGGGAAAGAAAGCCCAACAGAGACTCTACTTCCTGCGGAAACTGAGGAGAGCAAGGCTCTGTTCGAAAACCTAGGACGGGTCCTCCAAGGACGCGGTCTACCTAGACTGGATCCTTCGAAGTCCTTGAAAATAAGGAGACCGGAAGAGTTTTGGCTGTAAATTCGACCAGGTCTACCCTTCGGCGGGTTTTACCGCCGTATGCTCTGTTGCTTAGCAACCGTGAACGTTGACACACAAAGCAGGAAAAGAATGAATACCGAGGTTTTCAAAACTGTTTATTTATTTCTTTTTTATTGTGAAGTGAACAAAGACTACACTCACAAGAATCCAGAATGGAATAAATGTTCCAACCACCGGGAGCAGGAACAGATAAAATCAAATGTAATGATAGAAACCTTAGTCAGTTAAATAAAATAATAATCAAGTAATTTCGTTGCACCCCTGTGGAGCAATGACAATAAAGAATTCTGATTCTGAAAATGCTGCTGTCATTCTGCACATCTCTGATGCTGCTGCTATTTTCAAATATCCATTACTGTAAAAATGTCCATAGCTGCATATTGGTTATTTATTCCCCAGTTTTATATTGTTAAAACACTTTACAGTATTTTATTGTTTATATTTTAACTCTTCCCTATTATGTTATTCTTATACATTTTTCTAAGGTCCTCATTTGTGTGACCATTTCAATAATCTTTCTGCTGCTGTAAATTTTCTCATTGTGGGAAAATAAAGGGAGTTTCTATTCTATTCTATAAAAGGGGTAGAAAGATATAAGTAAATCTAAACAATATATTTATAAAAATATATCAGCAAAATCTCTAATATTCAACAACAAAAAATACGAAGTTAAGCATATTGTGCAAAATAGTAATAAAAAGATAAAAATCCTATCAGATTTATAGTCCCCACCCTGCAAATATATATTAGAATCTGTCCTTAAATTACAGCCAAACCCATTTACACAGTAACAGATTAAAACCTTTAGATAGTACAAACATTACCGCCACATATCTGACTCAGTAACCATTAAAACAACTATTTTCATTCATTTCAGACGGAACTATTCACAGAGTTGTATTATTATATTAAACTGAACTTCCAATTTTTACCACTGCTCGGCGCCAAGTAACCTTTACTCTGATCACAGCTTGCTTGGTCTCGCAATGAATCCTGGGATATCCAAGAATACCGAGGATACATCAGACCCGTCCTTCAAATCGGGCAAAAAGAAGGACGCATTTTAAGGCCGCATAACGAGGACTCTTGGAATCCGACCAGACCTCGGCGCCGCGCTATGACGTAATCGGCCTTCGAATCCGGTCTTCTAAGGATGCGTCCTAGGTTTTCGAACAGAACCCATGAGCCCCGTCCCCCATCCTGCACTCCTTCTACAAGGGCACCATCGAGGGCATCTTGACCAGCAGCATCACCGTGTGGTACGGAGCCTGCACTGCAGCCTGCCGCAAGACACTGCAGCGCACCATGAAAGCAGCTGGGAAGATCCTCGGTGTCCCCCTCCCCTCTCTATTGGACATTTATCACTCCCGCCTCACCGGCAGAGCCACCAGGATCGCAGGTGACCACACCCACCCCGCCCACAATGTCTTCACCTTGCTGCCGTCCGGGAGGAGGCTGCAGAGTCTCCGGGCCAGAACCAGTAGGCTCAGAGACAGCTTCTTCCATCAGGCAGTGAGGATGCTCAATTCCCTCCCTGCCCTGCCCCCCTTCGCCCCCCCCGACCCCCCAATATCCCCATCCTCCACTACTTCCTCCACGTCAGGACTGCTACTCTATGCACTATTTGCACCATTCACACTACTGTTTACATATTTAATATTTTAATATTTATTTTATATCTTAGGTTTTTATTTTTGTGCTATGGCTCATTTTATATATATATATATATATATATATATATATATATATATATATATATATACAGGTGCTGGTCATAAAATTAGAATATCATGAAAAAGTAGATTGATTTCAGTAATTCCATTTAAAAAGTGAAACTTGTATATTATATTCATACATTACATACAAACTCATATATTTCAGATGTTTATTTTGTTTAATTTTGATGATTACAAATGACAACAAATGAAAATCTCAAATTCATCATATCAGAAAATTAGAATATTGGGAAAAGGTTAAAAATTGATGGCCCCTGGTGCCACACTCTAATCAGCTAATTAACTCAAACCACCTGCAAAAGCCTTTAAATGGTCTTTCAGTCTAGTTCTATAGGCTACACAATCATGGGGAAGACTGCTGACTTGACAGTTGTCCAAAAGACGACCATCGACACCTTGCACAAGGAGGGCAAGACACAAAAGGTCATCGCTAAAGAGGCTGGCTGTTCACAGAGCTCAGTGTCCAAGCACATTAATAGAGAGGCGAAGGGAAGGAAAAGATGTGGTCGAAAAAAGTGTACAAGCAAGAGAGATAACCGCACCCTGGAGAGGATTGTGAAACAAAACCCATTCAAAAATGTGGGGGAGATTCACAAAGAGTGGACTGCAGCTGGAGTGAGTGCTTCAAGAACCACCACACACAGACGTATGAAAGACATGGGTTTCTGCTGTCGCATTCCTTGTGTCAAGCCACTCTTGAACCACAGACAGCGTCAGAAGCGTCTTGCCTGGGCTAAAGAGAAACAGGACTGGACTGCTGGTGAGTGGTCCAAAGTCATGTTCTCTGATGAAAGTAAATTTTGCATTTCCTTTGGAAATCAAGGTCCCAGAGTCTGGAGGAAAAGAAGAGAGGCACTTCATCCACGTTGCTTGAAGTCCAGTGTAAAGTTTCCACAGTCAGTGATGGTTTGGGGTGCCATGTCATCTGCTGGTGTTGGTCCATTGTGTTTTCTGAGGTCCAGGGTCAACGCAGCCACATACCAGGAAGTTTTAGAGCACTTCATGCTTCCTGCAGCTGACCAACTTTTTGGAGATGCAGATTTCATTTTCCAACAGGACTTGGCACCTGCACACAGTGCCAAAGCTACCAGTACCTGGTTGAAGGACCATGGTATCCCTGTTCTTAATTGGCCAGCAAACTCTCCTGACCTTAACCCCATAGAAAATCTATGGGGTATTGTGAAGAAGAAGATGCAATACACCAGACCCAACAATTCAGAAGAGCTAAAAGCCACTATTAGAGCAACCTGGGCTATCATAACACCTGAGCAGTGCCACAGACTGATCGACTCCATGCCACGCCGCATTGCTGCAGTAATACAGGCCAAAGGAGGCCCAACTAAATACTGAGTGCTGTACATGCTCATACTTTTCATGTTCATACTTTTCAGTTGGCCAACATTTCTATAAATCCTTTGTTTTTATTGGTCTTCAGTAATATTCTAATTTTCTGATATGATGAATTTGAGATTTTCATTTGTTGTCATTTGTAATCATCAAAATTAAACAAAATAAACATCTGAAATATATGAGTTTGTATGTAATGTATGAATATAATATACAAGTTTCACTTTTTAAATGGAATTACTGAAATCAATCTACTTTTTCATGATATTCTAATTTTATGACCAGCACCTGTGTGTGTATATATATATATATATATATATATATATATATATATATATATATATATATACACTCACCGGCCACTTTATTAGGTACCCCATGCTAGTAACGGGTTGGACCCCCTTTTGCCTTCAGAACTGCCTCAATTCTTCGTGGCATAGATTCAACAAGGTGCTGGAAGCATTCCTCAGGGAGTTTGGTCCATATTGACATGATGGCATCACACAGTTGCCGCAGATTTGTCGGCTGCACATCCATGATGCGAATCTCCCGTTCCACCACATCCCAAAGATGCTCTATTGGATTGAGATCTGGTGACTGTGGAGGCCATTTGAGTACAGTGAACTCATTGTCATGTTCAAGAAACCAGTCTGAGATGATTCCAGCTTTATGACATGGCGCATTATCCTGCTGAAAGTAGCCATCAGAAGTTGGGTACATTGTGGTCATAAAGGGATGGACATGGTCAGCAACAATACTCAGGTAGGCTGTGGCGTTGCAACGATGCTCAATTGGTACCAAGGGGCCCAAAGAGTGCCAAGAAAATATTCCCCACACCATGACACCACCACCACCAGCCTGAACTGTTGATACAAGGCAGGATGGATCCATGCTTTCATGTTGTAGACGCCAAATTCTGACCCTACCATCCGAATGTCGCAGCAGAAATGGAGACTCATCAGACCAGGCAACGTTTTTCTAATCTTCTATTGTCCAATTTCCATGAGCTTGTGCAAATTGTAGCCTCAGTTTCCTGTTCTTAGCTGAAAGGAGTGGCACCCGGTGTGGTCTTCTGCTGCTGTAGCCCATCTGCCTCAAAGTTCCACGTACTGTGCGTTCAGAGATGCTCTTCTGCCCACCTTGGTTGTAACGGGTGGTTATTTGAGTCACTGTTTCCCTTCTATCAGCTTGAACCAGTCTGGCCATTCTCCTCTGACCTCTGGCATCAACAAGGCATTTCCGCTCACAGAACTGCCGCTCACTGGATGTTTTTTCTTTTTCGGACCATTCTGTGTAAACCCTAGAGATGGTTGTGCTTGAAAATCCCAGTAGATCAGCAGTTTCTGAAATACTCAGACCAGCCCTTCTGGCACCAACAATCATGCCACGTTCAAAGTCACTCAAATCACCTTTCTTCCTCATACTGATGCTCGGTTTGAACTGCAGGAGATTGTCTTGACCATGTCTACATGCCTAAATGCACTGAGTTGCCGCCATGTGATTGGCTGCTTAGAAATTAAGTGTTAACGAGCAGTTGGACAGGTGTACCTAATAAAGTGGCCGGTGAGTGTATATATATATATATTTTTTTTTTTTTATATTTTATTATGCACCGTGGGGTTGAGGGGGATGGAAATTTCATCTGTGTTGTATGTTTACATGTAGCACATTTGACAATAAAGTTGAGTTGAGTTGAAAAGTCATTACCTGACCTTAGTTTATGTATCGATCTCTGTGACTTAGGAGTTTTCAATGAATTTGAGAGATTTTCGTAGATAAAAAAAAAAAATTTAACTCATTCATACCCCTGTTGTAGATGTTTATGATTTCATTTATTGTTTTAGAGCGCATCAGGAGTAGTAGAGAGCCTGAAGATCATCACCAGGTACAATTCCCTCAGGGTTGCAGAGTATGCATTTCAGCTGGCTCGGGAGAAAGGTCGGCGCAGGGTGACTGCAGTGCATAAAGCCAACATCATGTAAGTGACTTTTACTCCAGGAGGCCCAACCCTTTTAATTATTTATTTCCTTTTTGGAGTGGGGAGTATTGAGTGGTGCGTGTTTGTCCACCACAGGAAGCTTGGGGATGGCTTGTTTCTTGAGTGCTGCAGGGAAGTTGCCTCCGGATACCCAGATATCACTTTTGATAGCATGATTGTGGACAACACCACCATGCAGGTGAAAACTTGAATCACTCTAGATTATTTACCGGAGTTAAAGAAAACAAAAAGTGGTTTTCTTTTTTCTGCTCTTTTTCTCTGTGTTTTTAGCTTGTGTCCAAACCCCATCAGTTTGATGTGATGGTGATGCCTAATCTGTACGGGAACGTGGTCAGTAATGTTTGTGCTGGCCTGGTGGGGGGGCCTGGACTTGTGCCTGGCGCCAATTATGGTCGGGACTATGCAGTGTTTGAAACTGTAAGAGACTGTTAAATAGCATTGCACTTATCATTAACAGATTTTTATTTTTTTTTATTCAGTCTTTTATTCTTTTCTGGATATTAGGCTACGAGGAACACGGGGAAAAGTATTGCTGGGAAGAACATTGCTAACCCCACTGCTATGCTGCTAGCTAGCTGCATGATGTTGGACCACCTCAAGTAAACCTTTGGTTTTAATGTGTTCCTCCTGTTTGTATTTAAGGACTTTAATACATACGGCTAATAACCCTTTCTTCTCTTTTCCCCAGGCTTTATAACTACGCTAACTTGATAAGGAATGCAGTCCTCACCACCATGAATGAAACCAGGGTGAGTCCACAAGGGCTGATCATTCTTTCAACTCATCTCTCACTCTATGCTGATGTGAAGTTAACGGCCCAATGTTATGTAAAACCGGTTTAATACCCTTTAGGCTGGTCTGGGCAGCTTCCTCGAGAGCAGTACAATTCAATCACACAAAGACACTTTAATTGTACTCTTATCGGCTTATTCTTTCTAGGAGAACCTAGTTTATACAACCAGTGTTATGCTTTTTTTTTTGTATCAAAAGGAGATTTTAGTTTAGAGCCAACTGGGTGGAGATTACCAAAGACCTTCCCTGAACTGATGTGTAATTATAAGTATAAATATAAAATTGTCATTCAGGACCAAAAAAATTAGTATTTTCAATAAACTAGAACAATAAACAAGAATCCACACAGCAGGACCTGAAAACACAACCATCAGTGGCACCAAAAATGTGTGCATGCATCATGGTGGGTAAGAGCTACATACAGTTTACAGAGATAGTGTGAGCTTAGGCAACATCGGTTCAGGTAAGACTCTTCATGCGTGTACACAAGAAAACATAAAAAAAAAGAGAAAAATATTTTTTTTTCTATTCTGGGAGTGTGGGCTCTATCATAATTTTGAAAAAAGGCCTTGTTTTTGTCCCTGAAAACACTGGATCCTCATGGACGCCATGACAAATGTTTAAAAAAAAACATTTTCAGTTACAGGTAAAATAATCTCTGTGGACAGGTCCTTTGGTCAGATTTTTATAAACGCCAAACTCATCAGAAACTATGTCAGATAAAATTGAAGCTTTTAATTATTTTACCATAGTGGAAATATTGTACAGAATGCACTTTTATCCTTTAGGGAGTTTTTTTTTTTTTTTTTTAATACACATGTGGCCAATATTTGTGGCTCTATTGTATTTTTTACTGATTTTATCCGCATAGGGTTCAGTACAAAAACAGTTATTTCTTTGTTTTATATACAAAATACATGATAGAACAGAATTGCCTTTTCTTGCCAGGAGTATTTTTATTGAAATGTTTTTTTTTTTTTTTTACACAGCAGCTGTAGAGTGGAGTAACATCTCTCATTTTTTATCAAAAGGGAAACACCTACTCTGCTGAACTAATTCTCTGTTCATGTGATATGTTTTGCTAAGAAAAAAAAAGAAACACAGAATAAAAATACTTGCTATTTTTTTTTATTAAGTAAAGTAAATTACAATAATACTATTTTAGATTAAAAAATGAATCTGAAATAGTATTATCTCTGCAGCTGTCCCAATCACTTCAAAAAAAGAGAAAGTATAGCAGTAGACCATTGCACTGCTCAGGCAGAGGCTGCATGTGAGGATGCATGTAGGAGTCAAGCAGTCCTTTTTCTGCAGTAAAGTTTCCTTTGTAAAAGCAGCACCCTGTTCACTATTTTCTATAGAGGATAAACAAACTTGGCAGATCTGCATACTTCTGTGAAATAATTAAGTGACAAAAGCAAAAGGTTTTTAGCTTGGGTTCGGCTTGTATTGGATTTATTATAAGAAACTGAAGTTTTATGCTGTAAAATCAATCAACTTTTCTCCCTTTCTGGAAAAAGAACAGTTCATTATATAATTTACAAGCCTAAAATGATTTAAATCATAACTTTAAGTAAGTTTTGTATTGTACCATGTATTTTTAACATAATTTTCTTTTTGCTACAGTTGCACACAGCGGATCTGGGGGGTCAGGGCACCACATTAGAGGTTGTCCAGTCCATCATGAGGAATATCCAGAGTAAAGGCCAGCTCACTGCAGAGATGTAAAACAGCTCTGTCCATATTGTTTGAACAATATGTTGTCGTCTGTGTGAATCTGAGCAGGATTGTGTACGCAGACAAAGGCTGCAATATGGTAAAAGGATGTCCAAACATTTCCGTTCAAATTTCTGACCTGATATCAATAAAAGTGTTCTAGTATCACTCCTGTAGGATAATAAACTCTACTGTAACAATATTCTCTCCTAAAGCTTTTGTGTTTATATGACCTATCAGTTTTAGAAATGTATCCTTATAAATGACTGATATAGGGGCCGTTTTCACTGTTTGACACCAACCACATACTGCTGCTTTCCACCCTCTGTTTGCTTATATAGATTATTTATTTTTTATGTTTAGTCTACATTCTACATAGCAGCTTTTCCAAATCAACTGTATCTTCACTGTTTATATGAGTTCTTAATCTTGTCATAAATGATTGCCTAGAAACTGAAAGAGTGCTTATCCCAGTATACATAATATCACAAACGACCAAAGTTTAACTGCTGCAAACTCTTGTTTTTTTTTTTTTATCTTCACAATATCTTTACAATATTTACTAAACTGAAATAGAGCAGTTTAACAAGCTTAGTGTTTTTCTCAAAAGCAGAGGATCATGGTTATTGTATGATTTGCTATCAATAAAGAAATGTACCATAAATGCATATTTTGGGTAATTCAAAACTGATTTCAAATGCTTTATGAATATAACACCTTATACTTTTTCACACAACGTCGTTCTGCTTTTTGTGGATTATGTGGTTTTGCTGGCTCCCCATTGGCAAGACTAACAGCATGTACTGAAAGTCCACAGCTGAGTGCTCCAGATCTGAAAAGAATGGCCTGCTCTGTCCAACTTCGGGAGGAGTTCCTGCTCTTAGGGGAGAAAATGAAGGGGAGATTCACACACTGGCCACTCTGCCAGATGTATTAATAGGCAGATGCTGCACCATTCTCATGTGGTGAAAAAAAAAAAAAAAAAGTTGAATTTAATTACCATCCAGTCTGTTTTTTTTCCCTCACCTATGACCATGTAATCTGGGTAATGACAGAACAAGATTCCTGATGCATGTGGTTAAAAGGAGCTTCCTCAAGGCTCTCCTGTATTAATAATAATTTAACTATATTGATCTAACATTGGAGAAATTTACCTCAATTTTACCCATCCCGTTGGAGCAGGAGCAACCATTGTGAGGCGCCCGGGGAGCAATCGAGGGTTAAGGGTCTTGCTCAGGGAGTCGGAGCGGCACTCTGTGGGAGTGAGGCTCAAACTCAGGATTCTAAGATCTATGCCCTAACCACTAGGCCACTGCTCCCCTTAAGATAGCGTGAGGAGCCTACCCACCCAAAAGGCTGTCAGAGTGGAGCCCCTGCTCCTCTACAATGGTAGGAGTTGGCTGAAGTGGCTCAGGCAACTATTTCCCCTCCGCTCCTCCCTCAGTAAATGTTCCAGACATGTTCCACTGGAAGGAGGCCCAGGACCTGCTTTGCCTTAGGCTGCCTAGAGGAGGCTTCTACGGAGAGGAAGGTTTGGGCATCTGCTAAGACTGTTGCCCCTGTGACCAGGTCCCAGTTAAGCAGAATAGGTTGAGTACAACAACATTTATTGGAATTTGATTTGTCAAAAATAAGACAAAGTAGAAAACAACTATGCCGGGTGAAAAAAAAGTGAATTGCTTTGAATATGCACAAATCTCAAAGGGGAAATGCTGTGTATGTGAATTTAACCCCCCTTCAGCCAACTTATAAAAATAAAAGCACTAGCGAGTTTTTCATTTATCTCAGTATAAGTCATAAAGGCCTTACTACTCAGACATGTTTAGGAAAAAGTTTAAGGAAGGGTTGGGTTGAAACAGATCAGAAGCTCTAAATGTCCTAAAGAGCTATTTTCGTTCAATCATCCAAAGAATAAGTGAGTGGGGTACAACTACAAATCTACCAGTACGTGGCGATTCTCCTTTGAAGATAAGACATTGTTTAGAAGCTGCAGTGATCTAAGGAGGATAATATATATAATTCTTTTGTCAATGTGCAAAATGCAATGTTTGGAAGAAATTTACACAGCACAGAATACAGAACAAATGATCCCCACTGTAAAACATAGAGGAACTTGGAAGAAGTAACCTGCTATGGGATGTCTTTAATCAATTTGTCAGAGTTGATGGGAAAGAAGAAAGAGCAAAATTAAAAAACAAAATTGGAGAAAAATCTGCATAAGTCAGAAAAACACTTGGATCAAACTATTTTAATCAATTAGAATGGCCGTTCAAGTCCAAGCTTAAATCTAATTGGCAGAACATAAATTCAAGACGCTCCCAATTTCATCAAGTCATGCTTGAACTATATTCAGAGAATAGGCAAAAGTCTCTCGATGGTCAGATCTAGCATAGAAACTTGCCACCATAAATGGATTGAAATAAATTAGTCTGAGAAGCGAATATGCTGCAGATTTTGGACTGTTATTAGTCAAAAAATCGTGCATAGGTTTTCTTACACATTCTAATTGTGCTCTACTTTTTGTTGATCAATTATACAAAATTCTAAGACAAAATGTGGAAAGAAATTTGCATTGTAAATTAACTTCAAATGGCAAATAAAAAAAGATTAATCACAAAAGCTGTGTTAAATATGACATTAAATGTAACTAAATCAGACAGTTGAAAGCCTATTATAATAATATCTATTATGTTACTTAAAACATGGCTCTATTCACCAAATTGAAGTTCTCATAATCCCACTGATCTTGCAGTTAGTTTTAAACTTGCATGCTTTAATAACATCTGACCTACCAAGTGTGAAAAGCAGCCTGCTAATTCACCTTTCATCACTAGGGGGCAACAGCTGCTTTCTGCATTTGCTGCAATATGAAGCACAATTTGAATTAGAATTTATGTGGAAGTAAACACTTAAGGAAAAAACAAAGTTAATTAAAGCCAATTTTATTAATTGATTCTGCATGATTTAAATGCATTACAAAAAAGATGGGCAGCAAACTGCTGATTTGTTAATAAAATCAAACTTTTCTATCTGAGAAACCCAAAGAATCAAGCTTGTCCTTGTTATATTCTAACCAGTTTATTCATAGAAAAAACAGATGACATCAGTTAATATCTTTTGGTGAAATGATCCACATTTTTCAAATCATATCAATCCCAGATAAGAGCATTGTTTTTGTTGGACGAAGGGCTCTGACCACATGGACAGTGAGAGAAGATGCCAAGCAGATAGAAGAGATTGCGGTGCATCGATCAACACTGAGGTCTTGGTGACACATAAAAATAATCAGGGCCCTCCTCTCTTTGTGATAAGGCCCTAGGTCGTGAGGGCACATCTGAGTACAATGATGGAAACAATTTATAATCGGACTACTTGTGTGGGAAAGTTGCTAACTTTTCCCTCAGTTTCGACATTTGCATATGGAGCAGAGAAATCTGGAGATTATATTAGAGAATTAGCATAACTATCAGATCCTATAGTGTGTGAAATATATATATATATATATATATATATAACTATAGCTCCAGTTGAGTACTTCAGCCTTTGCCTTTGTCTGTCTCTAATGATTTGACTGCCCATTCATTCATGTCAATTATTCACTCAGCAGAGACAGCCAACTGGCTCTGGGATGGTTCCACTCTATTTCATTTAGAGTCAACCTGCTTTATTATACTTTCTGCATTAGCTCTACTCTTCCAAAGCAGCTTTGTTCAATCAGTGTATTCCACTCGGTGTGTGTACCTCAGCATAGTTCACATCACTTCCCATCATTGCTTCTCTGGTTCCCCCCCAGAGCTGCTGTTGCTGTGTCCCCCTCAGAGCCTCAGCTGGAGCCAACCCCTATGGCGGATGGACACAGGGTTTAGAGAAACAGATTTTGCAACAAACCACTGGTCAGCTGTTATGGGTGATTGTTTAATAGTTGGAAAACAATTTGTTTAAACATTCACAGTGGTTTGTGCTGCAAGAGCAGCCTTTAGATTAAAACCATTTTTTCTCAGGGTTTGAACATTTTCTGTCAGTTGATAATATTTTGCTTCAGCTAGTACTTTGAGAAGAACTATGGGTTCATTGCATTTGTATTCAGGAACATGCATCCTAGTAAGTGGTGGGAAAAGATTAATGGGGTTGGAGCTGGAATCCAGGTCTGGACCAGGTTTGGGCAATATATGACCCTGGTCTCAGCTGGTTGCAGAGGAACCAAGGAATACAGGTCCAGGGGGTAGTTGTAGGGTATTGGTATTGGGAGTCTATTGTGGTTGAGTGGAGAGTAACTGTAACAGTGTGCAGGGTCTCCATTTTTATATGTCATTAGAATGTGTGGGTATGAGGGTGGGAACATGTCATTGTTATTGTTATAATTATTATTGTTTAGGGGAGTGGTGGCCTAGTGGTTAGGGCATAAAGCTTGCAAACCTCAGGTTTTGAGTGTGAAACCCACTCCCAAAGACTGCCACTCTGGGTCTCTGAGCAAGACCCTTAACAGTTGATTGCTCCCCGGGTGCCCCACGATGGCAGCCCACTGCTCCCCAAGGGGATGGGTTAAATGCAGAGTTATATTTCTTTTGTGCGATCAATTATTAGTATTGTTTCTACTTCAAACTTGATTGAAGGATGAGTGGGTGAGTGGATAACTAAATTAAAAGGATGAGTGGGTGGGTGGGTGAATAACTGGATTGAAGAATGAGTGGGTGAGTGGATAACTGGATGGAACGATGAGTGTGTCATTGCATAATTGGAAGGAAGGATGAGTGGGTGGGTGGATCATTGGATGGAGGATGAGTGGGTGGGCAGATTACTGGATGGAAGGATGAGTGGATGGGCAGATCATTGGATGGAGGATGAGTGGGTGGGCGGATAATTGGATGGAAGGTTGAGTGGGTGTGAAGATAATTGAATGGAAGGATGAGTGGGTGGGTGGATAATTCGATGGAAGGATGAGTGGGTGGGAGGATAATTTGACGGAGGGATGAGTGGGTGGGAAGATTACTGGATGGAAAGATGATAGGGTGGCCAGATAATTGGATGGATGGATGAGTGGGTGGATAATTGGATGGAAGGATGAGTGGGTGGGTGGATAATTGGATTGGAGGTTGAGTGGGTGGATAATTGGATGGAAGGATGAGTGGGTGGGTGGATAATTGGATGGAAGGATGAGTGGGTGGGAGGATAATTTGATGGAGGGATGAGTGGGTGGGAAGATTGCTGGATGGA